TCTTTTCCCTTCAAATGCCAAAAACGTTTGACGAAATATGATTAAACACGCCAACGCGAACTGTTTGCGCAGATGATATTTTCGGTATTGGGAAACTTTCGTTATAAACCAATGTTTTCTAAATCCTTAAAACTAAACGTATCATAAAACATAAACTAAGACCTCACATACTTAAATACTGTATGCTCGCATAATGGAATTAAAGAATGAAAAACAGTTATACCATAAAAATGTATTGGGTTTGTTTTCATAGATTTGAATCAAAGGATTAAGAGTTCACGAATGAGAAGAAGTAAAAGTCCGAATGAGAAGAGATATTAGATCATAAAACGTTCAAGCAAAATTAACTTTTGAAACTCTTAGCTCGGTATTTTACAACAAAGTGAGAAATTAATGCAAAGCGTATGCGTAGCATGTCGTTCAAAATAATAAAAAATAGAAAAAAATACTTTTAAAAAGAGACATGAATCTTATTTTCAGATAGTATTTAGAGAATAAATTTTAACTTAAAAAAGGAAGCATTCATGCATTTTTTATGTATAAAAAACTTCAAAATTTTCTGACTATATCAATTTTTTCATTACTACGGGAAGCTTGTGAAACATAGATCTTAACAAAGTCCGCTGAATCCCTGGTGACTTCATGCAGCTTTGTAATAAATTAAATAACATATTTTAAGTGTTGCTCACCGTTTTCAAAGTAAACTAAACGCGATTTTAAAACCATCTGAGACCTATTTTAAAAACACATCTGAGATCTATACTATCTATACTTTTAAGATATTTATGTTATTAGTTTTTCAAAAATGAATTAAATAAGTTATATTTTTTTCCTAAAGACAGTAAGCGCAAACTTAGGAAAAATATTATAAAACGGAATAAAACTGCAGCATATCGATTTAAATATCTTAATATTTCCTTCAATAAAAAGACTCTTGTTTGGCTGCTATAACTTCATTTATGTTTCCAATAGATATATCGTTTAGGCATTAACTGTAGCGATATGGATTATTAAGTAACGCTTCCCTGACATGTATGAGGAAACAAAAGATTTTTAGGGAAACAATTTTTTTTTCTCCTTCTTTTAGGTTTATCTGGATATAAAGCATTCTGTCTAACACAAGTACTTTTTTAAATATTGTCTTAAAAGAGAGTTTTAAATGATGTGTATAGTTCTGTTTTATGTTTTTATTATTGAACTGGCTTTAAAAATAGCAGCTTAATTTTTTGTTACTAATTGTTGAATTTTTTATTTTTAAATGCACATTTATATTAATTTTTATTGTTTTATTTATTCTTGCAGTTATATTCCCAGTTAATGCTATCTTAAGGTAAAGGTTTACGCTTGCTATGCTACGATATTTAAAAATATATATAAAGCATATAAAGGAATAAATGAATCTCACATTGGATTTTTCTCATTTTCAGTCCTAATCTAAGCAAATAAAATATGCAATCCTGTCAGAACTCCAGTCGCTATGAATCCTTTAATATTTTACAAATATATTGGTAGCATACATGAAAGAATTGTGCAACCGAATTTCGCTTAAAAGCATGTAAAAATTACAAACAAGTTTTCAGAAGTATATACGATTATTAAAATGAAGCACATTTTAATTTTAAGAAAGCTATAGTAATTAAACGTTTGGTATAAGTGCATTTTGCTTACTAGTTAACGTCTTTGTGAGAATTTTTTATTGTGCGTTTGTGCAAATAAAGATGTGCAACATGTTTGTGCAAATAAAGATCTGCAACATGTTTGTGCAAATAAAGATGTGCAACATGGATGAAAGTAATAAGTGTTTTAATAAATAATTCAGTATATAACACGGCATAGATTATGTTATTTAGGAATGCTATATTATTATTGTTATTTAAGAATGCTACTTACCATATTAATATAAGAGTTGTATAAAAGTAATTCTTAACATACTAATGATATAATTGAATACTGAATGTAATAACATAAAAATTTCCTAAAAAATCACTATTTGTAGAATTTTGAGGAAAAATGATTTTCACATTTTGGTAGTATTCGTTTTGCCTTAAAAACGAAAATAATCTTACATTTGACAAAAATATTTTGACAAGCATTCCTATGTTTCTAAATATACCATTATTCTTTATTTTTGAATAGATGTTCTGCAACAGAATGAAAAGTAAAGTTTTCTAGAAAATAAAATGTAGTATTATTTTCTGAGCGATGTATATTTTCTCATAAACCCTTATCGTTATACTGTATTACAAAAATTCAGTCACATTTTTAAGAGTTAACAACATGCTGTTTTATAATATATATAAAATATCTCGAAGTAAATTTCATCACAGAAAGATCCATTATAACATTTCATAATTAACATTTATCCAAGCATTTCAAATGCAATTTATAAAACTAAGAAATTATCAGTTTCTTATAAGTATCCACTATATTAAAATAAAAATGTTCAATCCATGCGAATCTTCTTTTAAAAAAGTTTTACGTAATTACAAAACTAATGTGACCTATTTCTTAAGTATTTGTAAAACTTACAAAACTAAAAACCATAAACCATATAAACGACTTTGTACATATTAAAAAAATTACTAAATATATCACACTGAATAAAATTGTGTATAAATGCAGATTTAAAAAAATGAAATAAAATATAATAAGATGTATTTAAACAAATAACCTCTCACGTACGACATCAAATGAAGAAATCAATTTTGGGTGTGCATGTACATACTGTCTTAACTTAAGCTTCTTTCCCTGTAATAAGATTTATAATTTGCATCTTATTAACTGAGAAATATTAGGCAACAAAAACTTACATGCGCTTTAATGTGCATTTTAGATTAATTCAGTTAACCAGAAACTAGAATAACTTCTTCAATGTCTTGTTCACAGCCCAATCCAATAAATGTTTGTTTTAAGTTTAAAATTTGTTTTAAGTAAGGGTAAATTATTATATTAATGCTTTCCAATAAAATAAATTCGAATATAAGATAAACATGCTTAGTTTTTTTTAGAATAATTCAAACCATTATTAACAAATGAAGTAAATTCTATTGTTAGAGAGAATTAGTAAACGTAAAAGAGACAGGAAGTCGTTTTTAATTAACTACGGTGATAAATAGACAGAAAAATCATAACTAGCTCTCAGTATATTAATTATATCTGTTATGAAATCTACAAAACATGCCATATTTTAACAGTCATTAACTAAATATTTTATTTATCATTTTTATTGTTACAACAAATATAAATAACAATAAATAACTGATAATCTATTTCAGCTCAAAAGTTTTTACCCAAGAGTGTCAAAATTTTAAGGTTATGAGAAGTGAGCTTTCAGATCCTCGAGTTTTGTCGGCTGGCTCTTGGTCAGTCTATGATGGCAAATTTTCCTTTCCTTTAACAAGTAAATAATCCAATTCAAATCCGTGAAAAAAAGATCCTATCCTGAAAACCATTATTTTCAGCATATAAATTTTAAGTTTGTAAAATTATTTTACTGAAAATGATTCTCAAACAAAATGTATAATACTAATTTCTTCGTAATTAAATGTATTGAAAACCAAGGACTTTATTCAATTTTTTAAAAGTTAGGAAATGTACCTCTGCATGTGGTATACAGGATAAAAATTTTTGAACTTTTTAAATATTTTAATGAACTCTTTAGCTTATTTAGATAATAATTACTGTTAATAAAAGACATTGCCGCATGTAACGAAAAGCCGTATTGACATATATGAATTACTTAAACGTAATATACAATACAACATTATATTAAAATAAGTTATCTATTAATTTTTAAATATTTATCTAGATAGCAGTAAAATATATTTAAAGGCGTTAACATTATATAGTTCTAACATTTAAAACTTTTCAAGGCAACATCTTAAAAATATTAAATTTTATCACTGCCTTAATATAAGCTCTAAATGCATTTATGTTTTCTCATTTAAGTAAATATACTTTGATTTTTTAATACGAAATTTTTAGAACTGCATTTGTTTTATTTCTTTTAGTAAATTTATATTTTCCAATATTTCTACTCTGTATTTACGAAACAAACAACTTAAGAAATATACCTTATTTTTTAATACGAGAAAAAATTAGCACAATTTAGTAAGTATTTTCGAATACTGTAATTAACTTTTCTCTACACATTCACGGATTCCATATGGTGTAAATTAATCCTTTTTTCTTATTGAAAATATTAACCTAGAATTTAGAAATTTATTGTGTCACTCTTGAAAGCTGCAATATCTTTTAAGAGTTGAGTAAAATTAATTTTAGGCTCTTTTCTGTCCATTAGTGGCATTAGTAAAAATAATGTAAATTATTATTGCAACATTTCTCTAACCGCATGATTGCAGAAAATCACAGTCTTGTCGAACAGAGAACACACCAATGAGGTAACCACAGTTTGAAAATTTCCTCATCTATTTCCTAATCTTATTTTTTCATTATTTGACATGATGACGCGAAACCTATTTTTAATAGTAATTCATAGAAACCACTATATTAAAATTCTATTCATGCATCTGGATATTGTTATATCTTCACATACCATATAGGTAAAGGATAATATTAAACTAAAATCAGCTAAAATTAACTGAACACAGACCATCTTGTCGTATTAGTATACGTATTCCGTATTGAGAGATATTTAAAAAATATTCATTGACACTTTTGTACACACCAGAGACTATTAAAAATGATAAAAGTATATATAAGTCTGTGCTTCTTCAATTTTATAAAAATAGTTTTTTAATTAACTGAGAAGTCTTTCAGATTGATTTTGATACGTTGTTCAACAATTTTCATAGATTTTCGTATTTTAATTCCTCACTACATAAACTAGTATCCACAATTTAAGATTAATTGTATTTTTATATTTCACAACAAGTTCTCCACTTCATAACAAAAACCTTATTTTTGGAAATATATATTAATAGATTTAGCAGCTACGTTTTAGATATTTCATGCTTGCCTTCATCCTGTATTCTTCGCAGCGTGTGTCGGATTCTAGGATTTTACAATTGGCACCATCAGCGGAGCATCAAGCTCAAGTGATGTTGAGTATTCTCAGAAGATACTCCTGGCATACATTTTCAATGGTGACGTCACGTATGGGAGGGCATGACGATTTCATCAGAGCAGTCCGGGAGCTCACTCAAAGAGGAATTTTTCCAGACTTCAAGTAATATTTTTTACCTATAATGTATTTAAATGTTATTAGATTTGCATACTAACGGAAATAGCTTCAATCCATTATCATATTCCACGACTCGTTTGATCACGATAAGCACGTCGAAACTATCTGTCAAAAGTCGGATGCCGTTGTCAAGAGCCCGCCAACGGTTCTATGAATAAGTTTGTTAACCACAAACTAGTTCAACTTGGGTATAAATCCTAAATAGGCTAGATGTATGGAGCGTTTTTGTAAATTTCCTTATCTCTAGCATGAAAGGAAAACATTTCCCTGAGAATGTGCTTTATAAAGGTATCCTTCCTTTTGGAAGATAGTCCTCGCGTACTTGCAACAATAAATTAAAAATTTAATTGGAGATGTTATGAATATTTTACAATTGGCTCTTTTTCAAATTAAAAATGCACTTTGCAGTTGTATATTAAAACAGATTGAAGTATAGACTTTTTTTTCTTTTCAAATTTTATGTGCGATACGAATAATCTAAAGGCAAAAATATACAGCCCAGTTCAATGTATGTACAAATTATAATAATGATATTATGTATTTCCTAGCATTAATGTTAAAATTATTGAATTTAAAACTTATTATAGATGTTTACAATGATTACAAATTAAAACGTGATCATTTTGTGGCCCTTTGTTTTGCCTTAAATGGATAGAATAGGTTTAGGCTGGACACTGGAACTCAAATAGTACTAAATACTTTCTCACTCATTCCATCAATAATGATCACATAAATAATAAAATCAAATTTTTCTCTTAACACGTACCGGATGGAGAGATTGGTCTCCAGGTTTATTATGCAGAGTTTTTGCAGATTTTTTTGCATTTCAAGATTCAATAAAGACCATATCTTTTCATATTGATACAAAGGCAATGCGATACAATTTCTAAAATATTTCACCGAAATATTTATAAAAACACATTTCAGTGTCTTTCTATATTCAAACTGTATATTTTTATTTCAGGTTTGACATTTTAGATGTTGTGATATTGAAAACAAGCCATAGGGAATCTATATATAACGAACTGGAAGAAATTGCTGACAGTGAAGCCAGGATATTTTTACTTTTCGCCACAAAACCTGAAGCAGAAGAAATAATGAGCGCTGCCACACAACTTGGTATCACCAGGAAAAATTATGTGTGGATTGCATCGCAAGCCATTGCTGATACAGAAATCAAAGTGCTTCCAGATTTTCCTACGGGCATGCTTGGTATGATAAATACATATTTACATATTAGAAATATAAAACATGATATTTAATGCTTTTCATTTTTTCAAATATTGAAACATCGTCATTTTCAACTATAAAAGGTTAATTCATCATTATTTGTTTTTTCGTCAGCGAATGTTAAGGACAATGCAGTTCTTTTCCTTAATTAAGAAAAGTTTCAAATGTAGCAATGATATTGGTCTAATATATATAAAAGTGTACTCACAAACGCAAATATCCGTAATAATAATTTCGTTACTTGCTGGGGAAACACTTGCATCCGCATTTGCAAAATGAAACAAATTCAGTTTTTGGAAGCATCTGCTATCAAACTATTTTAATCCACAAACACATATGCTGTTTTAATCAAGTATCTGGAAGACAAAGGCCTGTTCAGCATACCATCGTCATTTTAGGAACATATTAAGCACTCAGTATTATTTACTCATTTATTTTGCTAATTTTATCTCCTAGAAATCAAGAAGTACGTATAATCTTTCTCAAGACGGAAATCAAAGAACAAACTTAATGGATGAGATGTTTTAATATTACTGTGTTCTGTGCTTCAGAAATGTCATTTACAATTATTTCTTTTACTGCTACTCTTTTATTTAGCCAGTGTACTTTGTTATAAGTCATACAACCGTAAATTAAAAATATTTAAACCATATGCTAGAAAGGCTAAGGGGAAACCTATGCGAAGGGTGAATGAGCGTGTTAATACTCTATTCAAATGTTCCCGTTATATCTGATTCCACCCACGATTAGTAGCTAAGACTTCTGAACAGTGGGAGTTCGACCCGGGTTTAAAGTTTTTACATGTGTTAGATAAATATTAGCTAATTGTCCTTAAAATATCCTCCTGTAAGGCATCCAGTCCCTTAGGATGATAGCCCTGGTGCACTTTGCTGTGCTTTAATCGAGTAATCTAACCTAACCCTTTGGATTTGGTTACGTATGAATAGCCAAGAAAAAGTAAATAACTGCTTTTACTTCGCTCCTCTAGTGTATAACTGATCAATTCATTTTCAACATTGCACTTTTCATTGTCAAAGTGAACTCTACATTATTGTCAGTATTTTAGAATATTTTATAATTAGTAAGCTTAAAATATATTCAGATTAACTTTCAAATATGTTGTAATAAGACTAGTTTGTATATTATCCTATTGATTATTTCTTAACAGCTATCAAGAAACAAGAAATCACATTGTTTTGATATAGATATGATTAAAATTACTTCTTATCTACTGAAAATTTTAGTAAGCATATTTTTATTACAAAAGCATCTAAAATGTACTTTAATAAGTTATTATCATATATCGTTTTCGTACTTTCGTCATTACATTTATGTGGCTAAATCAAGAATTTAAGAGAAACATTCCGTCTGTATGTATTTCCAAGCAATCTGCTCGTTGAAAATGCGCTTCATGGTTGTATTGAAAACGCGAATTTTACTTTGCTTCTGTTTTAGATCCAATGTGATCCTAAAAATTCTTGAAGCCACTTGTGCTTTTTTCTTAAGATAATCAGCGGAACACTTCAGGTTTTTAAAGTAGGATTTTCAGTAATAACTTATTATACAAAAATTGATTTCTTTTAATATAACGACTCTTACACAAGAAAAAAGGCTTGCTCTTGTAGAAAAGTGCAACTCATTAATAATGAGATTTTACACTTTTTAATAAAAATGTAAAACAAATGTCTTTGATAAAATAATCAAGCAAATCTAATCCAAAGCTAATTTTTAAAAACCAGCCTTGAGACACTTTATAAAAACGTACAATTTTTATAAAAGCATACGAAGAAGTTCACAGTCGGACACAAAAACACTATACACATAAGTGTACATAGAAAGGAATTTTTTTAAATTATTTTTAGACTTCCGGCAATTTTTATGCAACCCCTTGTGAAATTCGACCCGCACTTTAAGTTACCGAAGCTTGATACATTTCAGGATAAAGTAGAGCTTATTTTTGTCACTTTTCGGCATGCTTGAACAGCATAATACTTTTATGAGGATCATTGCTTTCTTACTTTACATTATTGTATTACATATCTTAAGTATCTCCACTATAGCGCAATACAGAGATCCATTTCGCGAGTATTTTAAATATCATCTGCATAAAATTTCTACCTATCCATTTCGATACCTATTTTTCCCTCGCTGTAAACGACAGCCTTTCCCTCCATGAGATCTTTTAAATGCAGTACCAAACACTATTTTAGTAGAACCTTTAGACCCAAAGATCATTTGCGGAGCGCGATAAATGCTGTCACAGTTCGTGGGAAAAGCGTGTTTTTATTAAACGACCTTAATAAAATACCTGCATTGGGCATTTTATTCAGGAACTATGGAGAAAAGAAACACTTACATAACTTTACCTGAAACGCAGGCCATGGAAAACAACAGCATAAAAATAACGTATATATTGTCAAAAATAAAAACTTTTCACAGCATAGAATATATATTGAGTAATTTTTTCTCCGCGTGTTATTACTATCACAAATTATGATTAGTTGTTGCTACTGTAACTGAAATATCAAACATATTTATTGTAAGGAAAATATTAAACTTAAACCTAACGCACGAAATTTATTCTTTTCAACATTTTAAAAAATTCTACAGTGGATTCCTGTTTTAAGGTATTCAGACATAAGGAATTAATAGATTATGGAAAGGTTAGGGACTATTTAAAACAGGGCATTCTTAGGCTTATATAATAGTAAAAAAAAATACGGATTATTTGGAGAATGGTATTGGTAAGCATAGTCGATATTTTATGCAATATTAAATTTCTAGACTTATTGGAAACCAGCAATATAACTAATTTATCTGTTTCACTCTAAAATTCAGGAAGAACAAAGTATCACTTCGTTCCTTTTTTTATATACGAAACAGTATAAATGACCAGTAAAATGATATGAATACAGGAAAGCATGTTTATAGCGATTTTCAATAACCGTATTATCCGAAGTTCGTTTAACCCTCCAAGCGACAAAAGGCTTGGTCTCAAAACCCTGAATTTCTCAAATATTCTGTAAGTGCCGATTTTTCGATTAAATTCAAAATGCGCTCGAAATGCGAAAAAGTGATTGGATTAATACATTGCTGGTGATGAGATTTCTTTGATATCACAGTTGAGTATTTGCTAAGCGACGTATTCCGTAATACACGTTCATCTGGGAAAATTCCTGATTTATTGAATCACATATTTGTACAGCCTATTATATAATTCAGTATACCGTGGATGCTGATTACATTCGTCATATCTTGCGTTATTCTACCCTGTAGATTTCAGGCTTGTAATGGCTCATTTTTGTTTAGTTTCGGCACGATATATTGCTCTGTAAAGATGTCTTAATGGTATGTCATTGTTGGAGAGGTCTTTCGTGAGCGTACATTTGCAAACGTAATGATCCGCATCAGCTAATTCTCCTCATGAGTATGTGTCGGTATTTGCCAGGGTCCCTCTTGCAGAAGTAATCTGGAAACGTGCCATGGCCCGATAAATATTGCTTAGGAAACCATATTACATTTAGTTTTGTTGTCCACTTTTGAAAAGAATTCGTATGTTCGACGACCCATTGTCGCTTCGCCCCACTCTTGTGGCCAGATCTTTTGTGTGTATATATTTATTATATTCTTCAGGTGAGTCTTGGTAGACGGCACATCAAGGCACTCTCCTATTTGCTCTTGTGCTGCCATCTACCACCCATCCGATATTATTCAGGGAATACAGGAAGATCTGCGAAAATATTCCCAACTCCATACAAGACTTGAATGGATTAAAGCGCATGCCGGCCACCACGGCAATGAGTTGGCTGACCATCTAGCCAAAGAAGCTGCCACAGGAGCAAAATCTCAACAAATCAACATCCCATGGCCAGTGTCTTACCTGAAAAGAACATTGCACTTAAAGGCAATCGGGAAATGGCAGCAAACATGGGATAACAGCGATACCGGCCGACGGACTTATTACCATGTCAGCTACGTGAACACTACCAAAAATTTTGCAAACATGCAATTGGTAAGATACATTACGGGTCACGGACCATTTCCCGAGTACTTTAACAAACGCGGGATAAGTAACACTAGCCAGTGCGCCTGTGGACAGACTGGCTCTCCGGAGCATTATCTGACCTCCTGTCCCCTTACAGAAGGCCTACACATCAACCTTCCGTCGACCAATCGACAAGCTTTCTGTAAGTTTTTGATAAAACAGAGGCACTTGGTTAGAAAAATAGGGCTTTTAATGGATAAACTGGTCGACCTTGACACAGACCTGTGCCATACTTGGTCAGCCATATAGACGAATAGTAATTCAGAGTCTAGCACCAACTACGAACACCAAAAAATAACTGTGAATTATCGTAAGGAGTATCCAACACTCCTAGTAATATAGCAAGAATCAACTATTTAATCAATTTGCATTATGCCAACCAAACGAATTATGTCTATTATCTGTACCGCAATATGTAAATAAGGACCATCAATACCTGTTTATAAATGTATCTTAAGTACCATCACCATGTAGTTATGTTTTATGTATGTATATGTATAATGCACCCAATGATTCTATACTCAATGTGATTATGCGCCTTGTATTTGTATATATATGTTCTAGTATAAATGTTACTGTATTGATCATTAACTGTATTAATCATTGCTGCATTATTTATTAATATTATTTAGCATCATCAAATTAATAGCACCAATTGAACCTTATTACGCACTTTCGAGTCTACGAGACTAAGGTACTATGTGCATTAAGATTGGGAGCCTAATGATTACTATGTGCCTAATACTATGTATATATCTCCTCGTATGTATGATAATGTAACCATGCATCCGAATATAATATCACGCAACATGACACTTTACCGCATAGTGTTAATCTAAAGTCTTAATTCTAAAAAATCCATTGCATTAACTAAATTCTATAGCATTATTATTATATATATTATATATATATTTGTTTATATATTATGTATCGTCTG